TGCACAGCTTTTACATTGCTACAAAGAGTACCCTCACAGTAAGATTTATTTCAGTTTATTTATATAGCGCCAATTCACAACACATGTCATCTAAAGTCATTTTACAGTTCACCAGATCATACAGTGAAATTGATTCAAAATTTTCTATCTAAGGAAAACCAGTTGATTGCATTGACTCATTGACTCAAATGCAATCCCTCGCACTAAGCATGCTTATAGCGACAGTGGAGAGGAAAAACTCCCTTTTAACAGGAAGAAACCTCCAGCAGAACCAGGCTCAGTGTGAGCGGCCATCTGCCGAGGCTGACTGGGGTTCAAGGAAGACAGATGCAGAGATACAAAAAGCAACTCTAAAAGGCGGCCCCTTCCAGGAAAAAAAAACAGCCAGGTAGATGAGCTCTGAGCCAACTCCCATTTCAGAGGATGAAGAGAGCACATCCAGCCAGTCACAGTCAGAGAAACAGGACTACACTGGAAAAACAGGCTTATCTCCAACATCTATAAACACAGATGTTGACGGCCGCAGCACAGCTAATATTTCTCTCCATGGTGGTGTCACAGCCAAACAGGAACAGATGAGGCGAAGCTACTATGAGAAAAAGGCACAGAGAGCATAACATTAGATATTAAACTAACAGATTCTTCGGAGCGGAAGAATAGATATAGAATAAGGCAAAATGATGAAATAGGGTTCCCACCACCATATATCATTATAGGTAAGTTGTTTTTTTATTGTGATGTACCAAAGCACCTTCCTCCACATGTTTATGGTCTCTATAGTCTGGCCAGCAACACTGACTTATGCACATCAATCAGTCCACTAAGGCTCAATATCCTCCAGTCAAAAACAGTCCAGACCAATCACAGCATGGGAGGTTGACCCTTAATCCAGCAGTGCTTTCCCGTAAGCATAACAATCAAGATAGCAGCTGCAATGGATGCCCTTTATTATGTCCCGAATGAGCCGTTTACATCGTTAGAATTTCAACAGCCTACTGCTGTAAGAGCTTTTCTTTCTTTAATTTTTTTTTTCAATTACAGCATCTGTAATTATTTGCTTGGTTCTAATCTGTTTCCACTGACTCGGTTTGTCTAGCTTTAAAAATTGGGCACTATCTACTCCTTTCCAGACTAATATGCCAGGTGCATGACGTGAATTAGTCTGTTTGGTCTCTACTGGATCGGGATTCTTTATGGCATTCAATCAATATCTTGCCACTCTTTTATAAAGACCAGATATAAAAAGCATATGAACAATAGTTCTGTCAACAGTTTCACCCACCTAAGCTATGAATCTCAGCTTCTACTCCGGATTTACTGTAGGCCTCTTGGTGAATTTCCTCTTTGCTAGGATTGCAGTTGTCATATTCTTTTCCATTCTGCAGAATAAACACATTGTTGTGCTACGAGTTTGTTTTATCTCCTAATCCCATTTTAAAAACTTTTCAACAACTTTCTTTCTGACCTTTCTGCGATTCACTAATGTGCAATTTCATTAACTCAATTGAATGTATTCATAACACATGTCAGATTGGTTAAGATTCTAACAAGGAAAACCATTTGATTATATTCAGTCATTGACTTGCTGGACATGCTCCTCCTGGATACATTCCATGCATTTTTTGTTGACTCTTCAGCAATATCTCACATAGTTCTCTATAATAAACCTCAGAGGCCTTCACAGAGTTTATTTTAGATTACTAATTAGGTGACTTCTAAAGTTGGTTGCACTGAATAAAATATGGGGATATTGTATTAAAGTGAATGGAATATAAATGCATGCCACACATTTCAATTATGCACTTAAAGTTACTCAATCCTATGAAATACCAACACGATACAAGAGTTAAAGAAAAAACTAAAATAATAAAGCTCAGAAGGTTTGAAAAGCCTAATGGCAACAGCCTCTCTCTGGTCTCCAAAGGAGTTAAAATTATAAAGTGACTCTTCATATCTAGCTAAATGCCTTTTCCATTTTGAGCCTTCCCTTTGAGCTTCTTGGTTGGTTTCCATCATCTCTCTATTAAATTCTAATCTGGTTGAAATGCAAACTGAAGGTGTTACATTTGTGTACCTCTGTTTTCTTTTTAATAATAATAATTAAACTTTATTGATCTCACACTGGAGAAATTGACCTCTGCATTTAATCCATCCCCTTGGGGAGCAGTGGGCTGCCATTGTGGACCAGTCTGGGGTTTAAGGGTCTTGCTCAGAGACCCAGAGTTCAGGCTGTGGAGATCAAACCATGTATTTGAAACCTTCTCAGAGCACAAGCGCACTGCTCTAACCACTAGGCCAACACTCCCTCAACACTTAAACACTGTTAAGGGGGAACTAATGATGGAATCAGTGTCGGGTCTCTGATGATGACTGCAGAGATCTATGAAAGAGTGAGAGACAGAGCAAGGCTGAGTGGTTTGGCAGATGAACAGGGAAGATGATATTGCCACGGAGCTAGAGTATTAGAGAAAGTCATTACTGTTCATCATCATTTAAATGAAGACTTGTTTAAGAGGAGATTAATGGCCTCATTGTTGATCTTTTTAGAAAGGCAGCTATTGTGGTTTCAGATGTCAATAAATATTTGATGTATGAGGATGGTTGTACCAGTGTGTGGGTTTGGTGGTGATGGACTACTTAATTATTTCTGACTAAGCATTTTATATTTTAGATTTTTTTTTTTTACAAGTTTATCAAATGAGGAGGAGGATGCTGTTTGAATACCATCTTCCATTTGGAGGAATCTTATTTTCTTCCTTGAATTATTATCCTCATCTATTCACTGATCTTTCTTTCTGTTATTTCGTCTTTTATCATCAATCTATTCTTCTGAGCGCTGACTGAGGGAACTCACAACTCAGCAGAAATCAGACTAACCAAGCTTCCTGAAAAAGCACTATATGCACCTTATATGATTTAGTTTTTTTTCTTTTACAGGGAAATAATGTGCAATGATGTTGGTTTAGGTGAAGTTAGTGAGAAAACCCACTAACCATTCATCTAATAAGTCTGATGAAGTTGTTTGTTTTTTATTTTTATTTGCACTAAGTCAATTGTAAGCGGTTAAAAGGATGTTATTGTGCGGCGTACTGGTGGCGCAATGGTTGGCGAGCACGACCCATGTATGGAGGTCTTAGTCCTTGATGCAGCCGACCCGTGTTCCTACCCAACCTGTGGTCCTTTGCCTCTCCCCCTCTCTCATACCCCCTTTCCTGTCAACTTACTGTCGAAAAAACGAGCCACTAGTGCCATAAAACTAAAAAAAAAGTTTGTTATTGTATTAGATAGAGTTTGTGCAAACTACCATAAAAATAATGCAAGTTATAAGCTAAAGGTTTGAAAGTTAAACTATAAAGCTCATGAAGCTCCGTCTTTATTCAAACAGATTTATCCAACTTTAAAGCTTTATTGCATTTTCTGTAGAATAATTAGTGTCAAAATAAACTGCATTATAAAAGCATTAAATGTATACTCTGCTTAAGTTACACATGACCACTAAGGAGTAATTTGTGCTTTCCCGATCACTGCGCTGTAAAGAATTCTAACAAGTACATTTCTCCAGGCCCTTCTTCATAATTGGTAAGACCAGGGAAAATGCTCTAAAAGTAAGTTGGACATGTATTGATGCTTATAAAATCTGGATACTGCCTGCGGCTTTGAACAAAAAAACCTACATGAGGCAGGTTTTAACTGAACCCCAACACCAAAATAAATGTTTTTAGATAAAAAGGTATGATTTCCTTTAAAGGGATTTCCTATTTTGATAGATAATCATTAAAAAAATATATTTTAAAGCAAATACTGGACAAAGGTCAAAGGTCAATCCAAGTTAAATTGTTAAACTTTGAACAAGTTTATTGCAGCACAGTGTACAGTTCTCTATTGAGTAATTAATAAACATGTTTCAGGTTGCTACCCAGACTACCGTTGTTCAGGGTGCTAGTCTCTGCAGGACAGAATAGGTACAGAAATTAATGAATGGATGGGGGAAATATACATTGATAACACCATAAATTGCTAAATACCTTAACTAGGAGCTTTAGATGCTCAGATTAAGGTCCTGATTTTAACCAAGGATTGGGTTACTCCGTCCTCCATTAATGGAAGTTGAAGAAGTCCTCTAATAGGAACTCCTGCCTGAACTTGTGTGTCTGCGTGCTATCTGCCCAGTGGACACAGTGGATAGCAAGCTGATGTGACAGGACAATAAATGTTCCTGAGGATTGATTGCAGATGACTCGGATAGCTGCAGAGTGCGGAAACAGATGAGAAGGACAACCTCTGGTGGAAAAACTCGTCAGAAGGTTGTGCTGTACCATGAACATTTCCCAAAGGCCTTTTGCTGGCAAAAGAAGAGGAAAACTAAATGCCCTACCATTTTTAAAGAATAAATGGGCTTCAGAATAACATGAACACTGTTACTCTCGCAGCCTGCTGCTCTACATTTATCTCGGACCTGGAAAGTGTAAAACAACATAAACACAAGCTGCACTATTATTTTTAACTGTAATATTGCAAGTGAATAAATTAGTAGCCTAAAACATCTGGATAAAGTTATTTACTTTGATGTTACAGAATAATATGGACTTGTTCTGCAAAACAAGGCCGTGGCTCTGCAGAAATATGCAGCACACAAACAGTATGTTGTGTTCCTGACAACTCACTGATGATCTGTTTGTTTCGGATGATGCATGCCTGGAAATGACTGTGCCTGATTCTCCATTTGCAAGGCCACAAACTGACATTCAAAGTCTTGTCAAAAGGGATTAAACGAGTTTTGAACCTGTCATGATCATCTTAATCAAAGTCGTATCCTATGTCTTGAAAAAAAACAGAGGCCTTTTCTGTTCAGTTGCATTTTCTGTTGCATTGGTTTTGGGATTTGAAATATGTTACAGAATGTTACATGCCACAAATGTCTACATTAGCTAAAAAAATCATATTACAAATCGGCCTTTTTGTACATGTGCATAGCTTGATTTTTTTTTCTTTTTACACAGGAATCTTGGGAAATCTGGGCTCAGAGTATCGTGCTTGGGACTTGGTAAGTAATCTCTTTCTCCCCCAACTGCATCCATGACTTCCTAATAATAATTTTTTTAAATTCTTTTTTCTTTCATTAAATTGATTATCTTGTGAGGACCTCTGAAATCAACTGAAGAAAGGCTAGTCTGCAGGTTAGAAATAAAATCAGAGATCAGGGATTCTTATTTCAATTGCTAAAAAAAGTTTTTCCCTTTATCACACAGGAAAGTCAAAACCACCGCTCCCATCTCAGCTTCAATATTTAGCATTGCTTTGGGAAGAAGTAAACAAACACACAAAAATGGTCCCCTGTGCAGCATTCCTATTTCTGGTACCAGTAAGAGATTTCAAAAAACAACACTAGAGGGATCAGAGGCTTCAGGAAAACATATAACCAAATATTTCCTTTGCCTTATTCTCAGAGTTCTAGGATATTATCTGCAAACTAAGATGGAAAACTGACATGCAGCAGATGTCTGGGGATGATGTTTGTACTAGCACAATTATCTCACCGTCAAGATGTTATCTGTCATTGGCAATATTTACTAATTTGATTTTAGGGACACAGAGAAGATTGTTCTTTACTTATTTTTAAGTACTTGTCTTTGTTGACTGAACAGCATTGAGCAGACTGAATGATACAACCCCTTTATTGATAGTAGTTTTATAAAATCACTGAAAAGGGCATCCAATATTACAGAAGCCTTATCTTGCACTCTCATTTTCCTCTTTAATTACGTTTCTTACAGCCTCTTCCCAACTTAAAATTAAATGTTAAAGTTGTTTCTGGTTTTGAACTCACTCTTGTTGACAAATGCAGTTTAGCACCATCATCACCAAAAATAACCATTTGCTCAGCCATGATCTTCCCCTCAGTTAATTCTCTCTTTTACATATATACATATATGTGTATATATATATATATATATATATATATATATATATACATATACTGGGCACACACACTGTAGAAAATACAGTGTGTGTGCCCAGTTATTCTCAGTAGTTATTCTCAAAAAATGTCTTTCCCATTTTGTCTTACCACCCAGCCAAACAAAAAGTTATGAATAACTAATTAAATGTCAATACAAACTTAAATTCAGCAGGTTCAGAACTCTATCTATAAAAGGTATAATTATGCATGTAAGATGCTTAAGATAAAATATGTTGTGTAGAAAACCTAAATAGATGTTGATGAGTGCAGTCTGTGTTCACTTTGCAAACTATTTTTACCATGAATTTTTTGTCACAACTTTTGGCTCAATGATAGAGAGTTTTAAGTTTGTTAAGTTTAACTATAGCCAATTTTGGTTTATATAAATGGAATAGGAGCTTGTCAAAATGCCTAGCATTTATTCACACTGAAAGTTTTTTTTTCTTTCTATTCAGTGTTTTCTTATTCTCTTTTTTTTATTGTCACAGTTGCACCCCCTTTAACAGACGGTGTCCTAGGCTGATGCCAAAAAAACAAACAAAAAATGACCTTGCTACCAACAAGAAGCTTATAATTGTTTTATTTTCTTTCTTTTTTTTTTTTTTGCATCAGAGAAATCTGTATTTGAAAGTCAAAGAGTTGGCAGTATTTCAGTGTCAGACCTGCCAGGACTCATGAGGATCTATATCAAACCTGCATCCCACAGATTATACTTTAGCTTCTTTAAAACTGGCTGACCTTCAGCAGATACTTTAGTCAGTGTTCTTAAACTGCTCAGGCGCTTTTGTTCCACCTCTATATCCTTCCCTTTTCTAAAAGTGTGTTTTCAATCTACCGCTTCAACAAGCAATGCAAAAACACTGTTTTAAAATTGAGCTAACTTTTGCTTTCTCAGGATTTTGTGGTGTTTTCATGTGTAGGACACCTCTGTTTTAAAAAAGCTCACTTAGGTTTTAAAACCTTAAATAAACACTCCATTAGTTTATCTTGTTTTTAACAGGAGGGTATGTTTCGCCTCAAACGAGGCTGTCTGGTGCCATTCTGAATGTTTATTTGGACATCTCTGAGCTCTGACACCCCAGGCAGTTTGCGTTTATCCGAGCGGTCCAGTTGGAGCTTCTCGGTGCAGGAAAGGTCAGGCTTTTGCATGCAGGTTGTCGCATGCTGTGCCTTGGCCAGACATGATGCTGGCAGGGGAGATGAAGTTAGAGGGCAAAGTGTATGATGCTAAATGGGGATTTATTGTTTCTGTGGGAGGACTTATATTAAGATGGATGAGGATCATTCTTCTTTTATGTGCGTGTTGAATGAGTTAGATTTTCCTCATGTTTTCTCCCATACTGCAGAATGGGAGAATAGAGATAAAATAAAGCAGAATCAGGAAAAATAACCCCTTTGTCATCCTGCAGCCTAAATATATAGCAGCATAATTATAGAAATTAGCTCAGGATAACCTGACTGTTTTGGATGTACAGGTGCTGGTCATAAAATTAGAATATCATGAAAAAGTAGATTGATTTCAGTAATTCCATTTAAAAAGTGAAACTTGTATATTATATTCATACATTACATACAAACTCATATATTTCAGATGTTTATTTTGTCTAATTTTGATGATTACAAATGACAACAAATGAAAATCTCAAATTCATCATATCAGAAAATTAGAATATTACTGAAGACCAATAAAAACAAAGGATTTATAGAAATGTTGGCCAACTGAAAAGTATGAACATGAAAAGTATGAGCATGTACAGCACTCAGTATTTAGTTGGGCCTCCTTTGGCCTGTATTACTGTGGAAACTTTACACTGGACTTCAAGCAACGTGGATGAAGTGCCTCTCTTCTTTTCCTCCAGACTCTGGGACCTTGATTTCCAAAGGAAATGCAAAATTTACTTTCATCAGAGAACATGACTTTGGACCACTCACCAGCAGTCCAGTCCTGTTTCTCTTTAGCCCAGGCAAGACGCTTCTGACGCTGTCTGTGGTTCAAGAGTGGCTTGACACAAGGAATGCGACAGCAGAAACCCATGTCTTTCATACGTCTGTGTGTGGTGGTTCTTGAAGCACTCACTCCAGCTGCAGTCCACTCTTTGTGAATCTCCCCCACATTTTTGAATGGGTTTTGTTTCACAATCCTCTCCAGGGTGCGGTTATCTCTCTTGCTTGTACACTTTTTTCGACCGCATCTTTTCCTTCCCTTCGCCTCTCTATTAATGTGCTTGGACACTGAGCTCTGTGAACAGCCAGCCTCTTTAGCGATGACCTTTTGTGTCTTGCCCTCCTTGTGCAAGGTGTCGATGGTCGTCTTTTGGACAACTGTCAAGTCAGCAGTCTTCCCCATGATTGTGTAGCCTATAGAACTAGACTGAAAGACCATTTAAAGGCTTTTGCAGGTGGTTTGAGTTAATTAGCTGATTAGAGTGTGGCACCAGGGGCCATCAATTTTGAACCTTTTCACAATATTCTAATTTTCTGATATGATGAATTTGAGATTTTCATTTGTTGTCATTTGTAATCATCAAAATTAAACAAAATAAACATCTGAAATATATGAGTTTGTATGTAATGTATGAATATAATATACAAGTTTCACTTTTTAAATGGAATTACTGAAATCAATCTACTTTTTCATGATATTCTAATTTTATGACCAGCACCTGTAGTATAAGAAAGGTAGAGCTACAATAGGGCCAAGGTGGAGCTAAGGAGAAACATATTCCTTAGATGAATCTCTTCTCCAACAAATATGAATTTAACAGCTGAATTCCCTAAGCATGTCATTCAGCTCAGCAGAAGCCTGATCATGACCTTCTTTTTTGACTCAGGTGTGTTGGAGAAGGGATGCATCTAAAACTTGAAGGATGGTAGCCCTCAAAAACTGGATTTGAGCACCTCTGCCTGGTGGTGTCACTACCCCTCTGAAAGCCGTCTATGCCAAGTTCGGAGCGAGCTTGGATCAGTTAACTGTGCCGGGCTTGGTTCTTATGAACATTTACACATCACAGTAGCACAGTACCTTGTCTCTTATTGTCCACGATACTACAACTCTCAAGACGGAAATTAAAAAAACAAAAAACGGAATGTTATGGGCAGCGCCCATAACATTCCGGGACTTAACCTGGATAGCTTCCTACAACTGAGCAACGGAGACTTACTTTTGAACTAGTACTAGATTTATAGAGGTTCTGTTGTGTCTGGCATGGTCCAGTTCAGTTAAGTGTCATTTACACTCAACAGTTATCCCAGTTACCGTGCTCGGACCGTTGTCGGCACGGTTTCAAAAGGGTAGTGTAAATTGGGCTTATGACTGGAACCCACAGAACTTTCTGGTGTTACAGAACAGGACATCTAAACTGCAGTTTTTCATTATTGTTATTAGTATCAGCAGCAATATGAGTGGTATTATTCCATCACTACACACAAGGAGAAGTGTTTTTTATTATTTCAGCTCCCAGCTGACAGTCTTTTCTGTTTTGATTGGCAAATTGACACGCAAACAATTCTAGATCTTGTGACTCTGACAAAAAGACTTTTCATGGAAGCATTTTTAAAAACTCTGTGTGGATCTAATTAGCTTGTGTTTTTTTATTAAAACAAATGTTTCACACTTCAATCTTCTTTGTACTGGAATCCTTACTCTTGAAATACAGGGCCTTGCAAAAATAATCCTGGAGTTTGTTCACATTTTTCTCACTGGTTGAGTGAATGATGACCAAATGATGTACTGTCACTGTCTACTGAGTTGCACATTTTTTCACAAACCAAACCACAGCTGCATGATGACGCTTTGAAAGATACATTCTGCAGCTTCATTTGCATAAGACCTCTTCCTCCCACAAAATCTCCTCTTCTTACTGTTCAGAGTTCTCTGCAGCCACTTCCCTCTGCCTCTTCAGCAACATGGCTGAATAGAGGCATTACTGCGGTTATCTGGGGTATTGTTTGTTTGTCTTTTTACACAGTCAACAGCAAGATTTCCAATGAATATTCAAGGAATTAATCAGATTTTAATACTTTGAAAGGTCCAGGGGTTTTATATGAATAAGCTCGATAAAAATTGCAATATACTCTCAGTCCAG